GGTTGGTGATGAGAAGTTCCTGACGGGTGCCTCCCCGTATGCCATGCAGCAGGTGCTTGACCTCACCCGATCTCGGGAGGGAAGAACTGCTCTGAGCCATGCGCTGCAGATGCTCCGACGCAGGCTCGACCGCAGAGAGCAGGCAGTTGCGCAGTTCCTGTTTGTCCATTACTGTGCCGTCCAGCACAAAATGGGCAGTGTCCCCCTGACTCGTATTCTAGATTTCGCCGCCGAGTCGCATGAAGGCTCAGCCGAGCCGTTGCTGAGAGACTTTGCGATGTCGGAGGTCGCATCTCACACTGAAATGGGAGAGCGGTCGAGTTCAATGTCCACCTTGGGGCGAATTTCGAGTCTCACCCGCCGCTTCATCGACTCTCTTTGACAGCGCAGCTACAGGTCCTTGAAGCCCAACGATTTTCGATTCTGCGGGCTTGGAATCCAAGCCTGCAAGCAGCCTGTGTGCGAGTGCTGTGGAGCCTGTACAGGTACTGGCGCCACCGGACTAATGTTCTGTCTACGTCTGCCAAGCTTCACAAACTCAAAACCCCTCTTGCTCTGAGCCGGAGGGCCACCCAGTCCTAAACCCCAGACAACCACCTCTTGCAAAGGTCAAGCCTCCGATTGGCTAGGTTTAGGGTTTAGGGTGTTCAGTGCGGTGCTGGCATTCATCAAGTCCAGTTGTAAAGGGTTTAGGGTGAAAACTCCGAGCTGGGGAGCGTTGAGCGACTGCCTCGGCTCACGACGGAGCTCGGGCATCCCCGTATTTCTACTTGAAGGTTCATGGGTAGATATAGGTGGGTTAGAAGTAGGGTAACTATAGCTGTATCTCGTTTGAACCTTATTCAAGGTACTTATAACCCACTTATAACTACCCCTGAAACTCCAAGTACGGTGTCTTCAAGACATGATTTGCGACAGGGCGCATTCTCACCTGACAGAACCCTCCTCCTGACAGCAAAAACCACCACAGCCAGATGAAGTGGAATTGCATTGAGGCCGGCTTTGGCTTTTGAATGTGTGAATGTGCCAGATCGCCCCGCCCCTCGAGTTGCGAGGTAACCGCATCGAAGGTGGCTTGCATGTGAGTCGCTTTAAGAAGCAAAACACAGTAGCACCTTGGTCTCAGCGCAGCGTTTCGACCCATGCACAGCGACCTGGCGAAACAAATGGCTCAGCACCAAGCCCCAAGCCCCAAACTCGAAGCCCCAAGCCCCAAGCTCGAAGCCCTAAAGTGAAGCCCATGAATTTGTTGTGCATGTTGTGCCCAGAATTATTAATTTGCACTTCAGTGCTGATGATCAGACCCTTGGATCTCCTGCTTTAGGGGCTTGTTTTCTTCCTTTCTGGGTTCGTTATATATACGTTTGTCAGTGGGTTTGTATTAGCCTGTTTTGCAGTTAGCGATCTTTGCACCTGTACATAGTTGGCGGTCTTGTCAGTATGGCCTTGCCTCGGTTCATCTACGGGCTTGTTGGGGCTAGTGCAGGGCCTTTCGGAAGTCCGCTTTTGCAGATGCGAGTTCGGCGTCGACATCCTCTTTTACACTAGCCTAAACGGTCCTTTAACGAAGAAGTTGTTTGACCCGTGGAGTCAGCGAAGCGGGTGGGAAAAAAGTCTTAAATCCCCAAGCGCTTAGCCTAGGCACCTTGGTTTCCGCGACCATGAGCGCGCCCGAGGGATCGACATCCGCCAAGTTGCAGCAGGACCGGCCTCGGTAGGCTGGGTTTAAAGGGGACCCACGTGTTGGATGCAGGTGTTTTTGGCTGTCGAGTGTCTGGCTTTAGCGTTTAGGATATCGTGCCTGGGGGCTGGAAGATACTGAGCAGGCTCTTCGAAAACTTAGTTATGGTGCCGAGGAGTGGGTGCCTTTCGCATCTATGCCTTCTCCTGCTTTCAGCATGCCTTCATTTGGGAAAGTTTCGGTTTTGGGGGATGAAATGCATGAGCCGAGGGTTAAGGGTTTAGGAGAATGAATCCTCGGCAACAGGCCTGGGATTGGTAATGGTTGGCATTCGGCATGACTAGTTTCAAAACAAGTCTTTAGGAGACATGAGAGCAGCATGGTCCACAGCACACCTCTTGGGACTTCCAGACACCAGCCGATTTAGTTTCTTCAGTCGTTTTGTGTTTCTGGTCGCGAGGGTTCGGGGCACATGTACTCTTGTTGGACTTTTTCGAGTTCAACTATGAGGCCGCAGGGTTTCAAGCCAGTGTTGGGCAGGGCTGTCTCAGGGGCTTGATGGGTGGTATTTATCGGGTTTTGGTGATTTTGGTGCAGGGAGTTTAGGGTTCGGGTCTTCGGCGGTTTTGGTGTTTCAGGGTTTAGATTCTGCGCATGTGAGTACTTATTCGGGCGATGTGCTTCCCTCATTTGTACGAGGTCGCGTTTCCGATTGCACAAATGCAGAAACAAGGGGAAGGGGTGAAGGCTTTGCAATTTTAGACACCGTGACTGAAGGTGTGATGATTGCAGAATTGTTTTAGTTGTTAAAGCAGCCTCCAGAAGTAGGAATGTTAGCCCTTGATCGCCGTTTAACCTCAAACCGTTCTAGCGTTCAGGGGTGAGAGATTCGAGCCTTGAAAGTAAAGGCTTGGTTTCAGGAAGCACTGCATGTAGAATCACGATAGAATTGCGTGTTTGGGTTTCGTGCTTGGATGCTAGTACCATTGGGATAGCAAGGTGGGTTATCAGGACTGTTGCGTTTGGCTATCGGGGTCGTACAGGATGCAGAACGAGGTACGCAGGTAGGCTTATTACTAAGTCAGAAAGGCCCCCAAGTGACACCGTAGGCCCTGCACCAAGAGCCTGCAAAACGGATCAGCCAAGACATCGAATCTTCGAGTTCACAGTGCTGGGTGTATTTCCGTATGGCATTCAACTGCCCCCAGATTTGTGTTCTATGTTGGACCTCTACCATGGCACAGGAGTTTCAGAAAGATCAGGTACCGATAATCTAATTCCGAGCAACGGGAGCCTTCAAAATGAAACTCCCCGCAACGCGAACCGAGTTTGAAGAAATCTCCATACACATGAGCCGCAATTACATCGGTGCATGGAGCTCGTAATCTCATGGATGGTAGGCTTCGGCACCGCGAAACGGTAGTCCAAACAATGGCAGGCATTCAAGGATGATATCGAAAATGTCGGAATCTTTGGAAATCCCAAGTGCTCAAGACTGCCTCAGGCCATGCAGAGCGGGCAGCTGCAGGCGCTTTAGTTTGGGCATTTGTGCTTAAAGGTGTGGCATATAAGAGAACTCCAGAATCAAAATGGGTTTCTCATGTAACATGCGGCTCTCAGTGAATATGTATAACAAATGGGCCAACCGGGCTGGTGCCCAGGCTTTCAAACTACATATCGAGGGTTTCGCGCCGATGATGCATGGCAAGGGGTGTGAAGTTTCAAGCTTGTCGCCAGGGTGTCGGGTTTCGAGGTCGGTGGTTTAGGCTTTCGGACTCTAGGGCTGGGCGGGGCTTGCCTGCTGATGAAAAGAAAACTATTGGCCAGCAAAGCTCACATCTATGTCAGGAGGGCACTAATCGTGTGGTTGCTGTTGTTGTTGTTGTTGTTGCTACTGCTGCTGCTACTGCTGCTGCTTGATGGTTGACAGCCTGACAGCACCTCACGTGACAGAGACTAGAGCTGCTCACGTTGTGGCTTCCACGTTGCTGCACGAAGGCCTGAGCCCCCACTATGAAACCAACAAGTTCTCAGGATGCTATCATGAGAGCTTCTGTATGTCGGGTTGCATGAACGCAGCCCATGTCCTGCGTCCAAAACTTGAACTGACTAGTGAACTCATAGAGCCAGCGAACATAAGCCCACACACGCACATATACTCGCCACACGCACCGACACCGGCACAAACATGCCCAGGCCAGCACAGATTTTGTGCGTGTGTGTGTGTGTGCCCTCACTGCGGTTAGTCCTGCAATTTACTACAACTTTAAATCCTCCTATGCCTGGGTTGTGCTTTTCACAAAGTCAACGCCCAAGCCATTCCACGATTGAATGTAGAATCAGTACAGAACCGAACCTTTGTTCAAGATTTCGGTCTCGTTGTTCTTGGCGC